CCCCCCCCCCCCCCTGCCATATATTATGAACGCAGCCTTAAGATAAGCAACTGTATTGTACATACACCTATTCCAAAGAACTTTGTCTTCCCCTAAAACGATAGGCGAAAAGCAATAGAAGATAGGTCATTGCAAGATCCAAGAATAGCTGGAATGACTTGTGTTTTTGCTGCTTATTCTTGTGAAGAATATGGACCTTAGTGTTGAAACTGATTCAATGTTGTTTGTGGTCGACGAAACCATTTCTGTCTCTGTTTTAGCTACGTCCTGCTTATCTTTTACTTTCAGATAACTTATAACTTCGAGTTTCTGAGCATACATCCAGACGAAAGGATATATACGGGATGTGACACTTACTTTGGTCCACTGGTGAGTTAGTAACCAATCAGAAGCGAGAAATGACATCACGTGGTTTGAATAAGAAACGTACAGTGAAAGTAATTCAACATGGCTGCCACTTTCTTCTTCTCATCATCTTTCTTTCAGACTATGTTACAAAATGGAAGAAGTGAACTTCTTCTTCATCCAGTAACGAGGGAGCTCTTGAGGGCAAAATGGTGAGAATTCGCCTTGATAATTTGGAAACTTGTTTGCAGTGAATCCCTAAAACTTTTTCTCCAGGATCGCCTCTTGTTTTAGCATCATATTTTAGTATCGTTTCTAAATCCAGAGATTTTTTTGCATAGCGATACTTCATGTAACATAAACCTTCCTTACTCATGTGCCAACTCAGGGGCGGTAGGCAGGCGGAGCCAAGGGGGCCAGGCTTCCCTCCCTTCGTGTCAACAAAATGGCGGCTGTTTAGAATTCATTCGGCAATTTTCAGTGCATTGTGGGGCTGTTTCAGGCGACATGTTTCCAAGATGGCGTCTATTCCGTTCCCTAAAACAGCCCCACGATGCATCGCAATGCCAAGTCGGCCCAGTTTTCTCCTCAACTTCGGAATGGCTCATTCACTATATGGAACTGATTTTTTTTTTACGATTTTTTCCAGGAATGCTATTGCCAAGTACCAGGTGCTGTTTGCGTTATCGATGTATATTACATTTGCCATCAATTTTACGCTTTACATCATCTGTTTTGGACAAATAAACCCCAATACTGGAAAAATGATTTCTTATGACGTAAGTACATGTCAAAAAATAAGAGAGCAGATGTGTATGAAGACATCAAGCTTACTCTCAACACTATAGACTTCCTCGGCCTTTTGCGTAATGTTTTCTTATTTCAGAATGTGTCATTCCTTTGAGAATAAGATTCTTTGTTTGAGTGGTATCTGTATTCATGTGTCTTCTCATGCACCACCGTTAAACAAGGGAATGATTACTCTTAGGCTGACAAGTGGTCTGATATGGGAAAACATTTCGCATGAGCACGCCCGAGCCGAGGTCTTTTGTTTAGTCTAGTGGTTATCTAAGCGAATAGACCTATCCCGAATTCACTTGACTGGTCACGAAACAATGGTTTCAAGTCGAGGTTGAATTTGATGAATAAAAGAATCAAGTTCAGTCTCGACTTCAAACCATTGTTTCGTGGTCAGTCAAGCGAATTCGGGATAGGTCTATTCGGTAAAGGTCTCTTGCAAATCTTTTTTCTCGAAATATATATATATACCATTGTTTCCACTTCCTCCACATACACACACAAAAAGGACATACAGGTATACCTTAGCCCGGGAAGGAAGAGGATGGGAGGGAGATGGGAATTAAGAAATATAATTGACCTCTTTAGCCCGGGTGTAATATTTTTCAATTTCAGACCATGTGTCATTGTATTCATATTCATGTGTCTTCTCATGCACAACTGTTAAACAAAGAAATGATACTCTTGGGAATGACACATGGTTTGAAATGGGAAGACATTACGCAAAGGTATAGAGGTCTATCTTAAAAAGGTTGACCTCCCTCCCCCTCCCGGAAAGCCAGCACCTCTGGAAACAAATGAAGTCACCTCCCCACTTTTCGAGTCACTGCCCTAGGGAAAACATAAATATATAACAGTTAACTTACCAATTTTAAATCGTCTAACTGATTCTTGATTACTACAGTACCCGTTTTGCAGAGATGAAGTGATGAACTATCAGTCTTTGGCGGTTTCTTTATTCTCTGGAATATGGCTTCTTACTCATATGTATCGAGCACTAAGAGAGGCAAGCGTTAATATCAACAGCTAAATTTCTATTCTGCATCGATGTGATAACCCAATTGCGGTCTACTTTTACATCAACGATGAGTCGGCCATCTTGAATCGCAAGGCGTTGGGACGTCCAGGGGCAAATATACAAAGAGTTGTCACAAAAATGGCGTCTTAACAGTTCAACAAAACAATTTAATAAAACTGAAAAAATGAGCAAATGTCTCAAAGAAAGTGGGGTCATCATTTCCCATCTTTGTTTTGTCTTGTTTTTCCCTGAGCGACCCGTAATGCCTTGCGATTCAAGATGGCCGCTGCATCGTCAAAGTAGTCCATTAGTGTTTGTATGGCCCATGCATGTTCTATCGCTATGATAGCTTTATTAGTCAGGGGTTGTTTCAAGGTTCGATCACAGGGAGCCCGGCTTGGTGATTCTAAATCGGTAAAACGATCACGTTTCATATGTTGATGAAATTACGTAATGATCGTAACTCAATACACCCATATACAAACGGTCACTATAGAACACCAGTGCTTGTAACGCGTAACTTAATACCATGATAAATTCAAATTCAAATACGTAGCGCACGCGTTAAGAAGAGAGAAAGGAGAGCTTCTCTCCTTTCTCTCTTCTTATGAGGCGTCTAACACTATTGCATTACAAGTTCTATTACGTAGTGACCGTTTGTATATGGGCCATTGAGTTACGATTATTATGTAATGTCATCAACATATGAAACGTGATCGTTTTACTGATTTAGCATCACCAAGCCGGGCTCCCTGTGGTTCGATCTGTGAGTTAGCCATGCACTGACTTTTATCAACCCAGGAGTTGGTTTAGGGTGTCGATAAAATTTCAAGTTTTCCATGTACCATTTACCAGTGGTGGTTAGTGTCTTGTAATTCATCGTTTTGTTCCAGGAAAACCAGCTACGTGTGAGACCCCTCAAGTTCTGTCGCTGGCCTCGTTGCACACGACAGCTGCGTCGTGTGCCTGCATTTTAAGCGCGCGGTCAAAAATTGCACATGCACAGGGGACGTAACAGCTGAAAAAATTGCCAAAAGTCTCGATAAATTAAATGAGTTGAATTTTTCATGGCGAACACGCGTTCTTTGTCGCTCTTGTTGCAACTTTGCAATTTTTTCTTGCACTCGCGACGTGACTCATTTCGAAAAGTTGCGGCGTCGCCTGTGCAAGCAAAAACCCCACCTTCTCCGGCTGCAAAAACTCACTCGTATAGTCGCGGCTTAACGGCTTACCGTGGGGACTCAGAATGTTTCAATTATTTTACTGAACAGAGATGGAACTACATGAACCGCGACAGCTTGGTCGAAGTGGTGATGCTGTTGTCTTGTCTCATGTCATCCGCATTCGGTGAATACGTACTCGTACTGGACCAAAAAGAGCAGTTTACCTGGGGTATCTACTCCATTGTCGTCTGCTATATAGTGCTTCTTTTCTATATACAAACGTAAGCAAATACATGGCAGCAATTTGCTTACCATCCAATCTCTGTAGCCTTCATATATTTTGAACTTTCTATATAATCTTTTTTTGTTGAATATCTCTCAATATTTTATCTAAGTTTCCAAATCCTACGAATTATTGGTCGGAGAGATAGGAACACTTAGTCTCAGGTCAAACGTCGCACGTCACATGAGCCAAACGCAATGAAAATAAAGTTATCTTATCTTATCTCATCTCATCTTAAAACAATGGATAATAATAGGGTGATCTTGTCATTAGGTTCGACTTATGTAAAGTACTAAAGTGCAAACCATTTATCCGTGAAATAAACACATCTATTTCTTTTGCTTTTAATTGTTTCATTGGTGCTATTTTGTACTCATTAGTTAGTACTGTTTCACGGATATATGGTATTTCATTTTTATGTTGCAACAAAAAACAAGTAGTTTTAAAACAAGTAGATACGTTGAGTTCAACTGAACTATATTGCAACAAAAATAAAAAAAACTTAGTTTTAAAACAAGGAAGATACGTTGAGTTCAACTGAACTACATTGCAACAAAAATTTAAAAAACTTAGTTTTAAAACGAGGAGATACGTTGAGTTCAACTGAAGTAGAATAACCAAAACATTATCCCACGTAAACAAGTGAGCTAGAATTGCTAGAATTTTTCTTTTCTTCAATTTATAGGGTTTTTGATTCTGGAATATACGTGACCATGTTGTTTGTTGTGCTTAAATCTCTAGTGAAGGTATGGCATTATTGTAATGGTATTCTACGCTAAAGTGCTAAAGGAAGGAAGGAACAGGAAGGAAGGGAGGGAGGGAGGGAGGGAAGGATGGATGGAAGGAAGGAAGGTAAGAAGGATGGGAGGAAGGATGGGAGGAAGGAAGGAAGGAAGGAAAGAAGGAAGTTGAAATAATGGAATATGGTTTTCCAACTTTTTCTTTTTCTATTTCAGGTTTTTGCAATTTTTCTCATTCTCATTGTAGCATTTGCTCTCGTCTTCACTTTCTTGCTCTATAAAGGAGAAGTAAGTTATTTCAAGTCTGTCTCCACTATCTTATTAAATACGTTTTAATCAGCTTTCCTTCATTTCATTTACAATAATCAAATCTTTATTTTTTTAGGAACTGGGAAATATTCAAGGTCCTAACAACACGACAATAGTAATTAAGGTAAGAGTTATACCGAAACATAGAACAAGCAAATCTTTTGCGCGCCTGGTCGCGATTTGAGCGGCTTTACTAAGCTACGGACACACGGTGCAACATTGCGCGGGATATGTTGCTGGCAATCGATCCATTTCATACGACACAATTTGTTGCAGAAGACGATAGAAAAGGACCATACTTCAGCAAAATTACCTGGCACATTGCACGCAATGTTGCACCACCTTGGTTTCAAAGTTTTTTTGCGCAACAATGTTGCGTGACAACAAAATAACTGTGATAGTGCGTGACAAAACAAAAACTGTTGTGACAACAAAATAACAACTGCAATGTTGCATTACAACAAAACAATCACTGCGCGTCACCATGAAGAATTGCAATCGCAAAAGCAACAACTGCAATGAACATTAGACAGAAGAATAACCCAAAGAAACAGCCAAATCAGCAAAGACAAGCATTACAGTAAAACAACAAAAAATTTATTTTTTCCTCTGTAGCATCCATTCAATAATATCTGGAGCGCGGCCGTAAAAGTCATGGCCATGATGATTGGTGAGCTGGAGTACACAAGATTCTTTGTAGAACAGGATAATGATAGCCCACCCTTGACTATCTTCATCTTTGTGGTCTTTTGTCTTTTGCTACCAATCGTACTAATGAATCTACTCGTAAGTGCTATCTTCTTTTGATATTCTTATCAGACATTCAACCAGTAAGTTTGAAGTCATAAGAGCAGTGAGACGACCCTGTTCCTTTTGAAGGTTTTGCTGCAATTATGTTGTGCAGGGACAAATTTTAGAAACATTTTCCCCATTGAAAATGAAATTTTCTCGCTATGCAAACATATTACTTCGTTTCTGCCATTATCACCTTGAGCCGACTTAATCTTTGGTTTATCTATGAGCTCTTCGCCAGAGCTCTTTGGCCGGAGATCAAGATCAACACGGGTTGGGTCCTAGGAACGACAATGACCCATATGCGAACCTGAACAATTGTCACCCTGTGGTTTGTGAGCAATTATTTTGTTTGTTTGCCTTACTTGTTGCTTTTGCGCAGATTGGTTTGGCAGTTGGCGATATAGAGTCCGTACAGAAGAACGCCGAGCTCAAGCTACTGACAATAAAGGTAGAACACCACCATTTTCTGACGTGATTCTGAACGATTTAGTTTCATTGTTGCTCTGGTCTTCGCAAATACGGAAGAAGATACTGCACGCTGCACCTATACTAGTCCGGGTCATAGCCATCATGTTGGTTGACTTGAACAAAATTTTTGGTATTTGTTTTCCTTTTGTTATGTCAGCCGAGATAGTGACCGCCTTGACTTCATCCCTCAGCCCAATAACAAATAATCTACGATATGTCTTACTAATCTTACTGGGCTATTTTCCAGATTGAGGTCATTTACGCTACAGAGCAACAACTTCCAGCATTCATTCTACGATATTTTTACAAGCCATCTGTGGTTCAATACCCGAATAGGTCGCGAGGATGGTGCTCCAAATGTATCGAGGTATAAACCCTATTTACACATCTAGTAAGATGTAGACCCCTTGCATGTGACGTCAAAGCGCTGCAAGTGCTGCAAGCGGTCTATATCTTGCATTGATTTCCCAGAGGAATTGTTCTGAGAACAAAACAATAGGCCGTCTTTTCTTATGCAAAAAAATTTATTGTTTTGTCCCCCAGAATAATTTCTCTTGGGTCTCTAGTAAGTGTCGTGGAACACAACTAAGTTTGTGAAACTTTCTTGGCAAGAAAGTACAGCGATACTTCTATTAAGCGGTCCCTTTATTTAACGGACAGCTGCGCAGAGCCCAAATTTTCTTACCATTTTTAGTGCCCCGCGTAACGTCCCTCGATAAAGTTGTCCCATTACATGCTGGAAACAAGCTATAATGAAATCGTGATCAATACATGGCGCGTAATTTGATTGCGCGGATAGCTAATGCTGTCATGTCTAATTGAAGGCTGTAGGTCACAGGTTGTCTGGAAGCTCCAGTGACAAAGATGATATGGCAGAGGACACAGAACAAACAGAAAGGGATTCATTAGAGAAACTCGTGACTAAATTATGCGGGCAAATCAAGGAACAAGATAAGAGGTGACCAATCGAAATGAAATTGTTAATCATCATTAATATTTATTAGTTTTAAAAGCCGTTATTAGTATGAACAAATAAACGAAAAACAAAAAAGAGAAAGAAACGGAGAAAAAAATAGAGATTTGTATTGAAATTGAAAAGAGTATAAGAAGTGGTGCCACTAATGCAACGCCTCTCACCGCTGTAGCATTTGACTCGAGCCCTAAACTAGCCAATTGTGAGAAAAGTATCTTCGCTATATCCTATTGATCGTTTTCAACCATTCCCAAGAGGATTAAATATCAAAAGACACAACGGCCATGTTGGAGGATATAAAAAAAGAATTCATTGACATTCATTGGCCGCCGTGAAAACCATCAATTATTCGAGGGGTTCCGAGGCGTTTTCCGGTTTTCCTCTCTCGAGAAAAATCGACTATTGAATTTCATTTCCATCTGGCACCGATTAAACTGAGTTTGTTGTGAATAGCGGGAAAATAAGTCAAATAAAATAATAAGTCAAAGGAAAATAAGCTTATTAGGAGCGGCCTTCTCTGCGGAAAGGTTCCTGGATGAAAATGGATTTTTGGTCATTTTAACGTATTGATATTCTATCTTTTAGGATGGACAAACTTGTTAGCGATGTTGAACAGCAAAGGACGATATTGGATCAAATAGCAGATATTGTTTTCAGAGAAAGCGACAGCCGTCTCTAACAGGATGCAAAACCATTTCATTAAATGGAAAATTGAAGAGACTGGTAACGAAATCAACTCGCTGAGAATTGTGGGAAAAGAGAAGCTGAAAACGTCTCTTTATCAACGCCATCTCTTTTAAGTAGACTTAAAAGTCTTTTAGCAAATGTCTCACACTACCTGAGAAAACGAGAGAAAATGAATAATTAAACAAATAGGAGACGAAGTCGGCAGGTTGCTTGAAAAAAAAAAAAAAAAAAAAAAAAAAAAACCAGATTAAAAAAACAATTTTGCTAAGATCCAACGAAGATGGCGGATGATGAAAAAACACAGTGAACATCGTATAAAGTAAATTTATGCAAAAGCTTGGATCACAGTATTATAAAATAATTTATGCCAATAATAACGTCAAATGAGCACAAAATGAGCACAAAATGCTTTATTTTATTTATCTATTTCATTTCTTGCTAGGTAACATTTTTCATTTCATGTTTGTCGTGGCTTGTCAATAAAAGAAAGCCCCACATTTTTAGYTTCACTAGCTTTTAGTGTTCCTTGTAAAGTTCTTTGAAACGGTGACATTTCCATTCCCTTCGGCTCCCAACAAAAGAATTTGCAATTCTTTTTCGCCTTGGTAGCAACATTCACTGGTGATTTTCCAAAGCTTGAACGGTTATTCCGCACAGAACATGCGTAAAATACTCGTCCCTGATTGGGTCCTGGTTTTCCAACAGTCAAACGACGAGCACGACGACCGCAGTCACACAACGGTGGCGTTACGCTTCCGCCATTAAAACGCAACACTGGAGTCACGCTTCCACTAATGGAAAGTGGAGTGACACAGTTAGGACTTTTGAAATTTTTTGGCGTGACTGTCGCCTTAGTACTCAAATTCGCGTATCCATTCCTTACTGACAGCGAAGTCTGTCTTCTTGCAGAGCTGACTGGTTTTGGGGTTTTGAAAACACCTTGTGCAGTATCTACTACTTTGATTCTATTTTCTTGGTCTAAATTTTCTGCTATTTTGATGTCATTTTGTTGTCGCACTTCAGAGGACTTTTCAACATTTTTCTCAGTGCTTCTTTCTAAAGAATGCAGGGCGTGGCTGGACAGCAAATTTGTACGATCAACTAATCTAGGACTCTTGGACTTGAATTCTGATACATTGGAACTTTTGCAAAGACCCTTGAGTACTGTACTTTTAGGCTTAACGTTTTCTTGATTGTTTACAAAAGTTGCAGGACAATGTTCTCTCGCAGATACCTTTGGGGACGCTGATGTTTTAACAAAGCTCCCATCACGAATTGAACCCAAGGATTTTGCAGGTAACTTCATCCCCAGAGTTTGTTTAACAAGGCCTCGTTTGGCTGCCATCGGTGTGTTAACCTCATAAGGTAACTTTCGCTTCAGAAGATTAGCATCATTTCTTACAGCTGATTCGCTAACCGGTCTTGCTTCGATTGACGAACACCGCTGTCCAGTAAAACTGGTTAAACTAGTTACCGGCGATACAAGGACTTTAGTCGCATCTGTTTTGTTGTAAACAGCGTCGACAGTGGAAGTAGAAACAGAAACCGAAACTGGAGGAGCCAGAAGACTTTGTACTGAAAGAGTAGCGGCATCTTGCATTTCATTCTCTTGCAAAACTTCAAATTCATCTTTGCCATCTTGTTTCGAAAAACAAGTTTTTAACACACAGGCGTTTGGATTTGCTTGTGTCTTCAAGTTTTCCAATTCCCGTTCGGTCCCAGCGTGGACAGAAATACCAACAGTGTTTTGTATACAATTGGATTTTTCTAGTTGGTTTGCCTCGCAGGCCTTTTTTGCTCCAATGGACTGTAGTATGTTCAATATGTTCCTCTTTGGCTCTTTAGGAGCTTCGTTTTTCTTAAAACCATTTTGGATTATTTGGTGCAATACACTGACACTCTACAAAAACAAACCCAAGGATCTCTTAAACGCATGCGCAGTAGAAGAGAGAATGTCTTCAGTAGAGTAATATACTATTTCGCTTCCTAAAACAGCCCCAAAGTGCACTGCAATGCCAAATCGACCCAGTTTTTTCGCAACCTCAGAATGCCTAATACTGAAGCTGGCGCATATTTGAAGATGTTTCGTGAGAGAGAATTTTGGGTGTAAAAAGGCCAAAGGGACTCAACAAGTTAGCAATCCTACAAACAACCGTGATATATACTGACCTACATGTTGTAAGCTGAGTATTGTGTGAGACAAATTAAGTAGTCATGTTGTACGCACCGCATCGATGGAGCTGGTTACATTCATTACACAGCCATCTTTGATCATCCTCCTTGCAAGCCTTGCAGTGTTACGTGCGTCATCAAGGCCTGAAGAAACAATCGTGCAATCAATTTTTCTTGTCATTATTTATTAAAATTAATATCATTATTATTATTATTATTATTATTTATAAGAAAAAATAGTGGCAAAAAGTTACGACGTTTTGATGACATCTTGTCTTCATTATCAGTAAGCCTCATAAGAATTATTATAATCATTAGCATTATCATCAATTTCATCCTTTATTAGTTTTAGACCCTTCCACGATCTTTCACGCTTGGAAGTTACACACTTACTGCCCTGCCCTGACTCTAATCAGCCCAGCTCAGAGTTTTTTTCAGGGTATATATAAATTTTGAAGCCGTGAAGGCCTTTAAGCGCGGTGGAAGTCCAACGACATTTTTGCAATGAATAGTGAGCAGTACTAGAGTGATTTTACTTGGCCCGTGAAAGAATAATAATACATAGTAGAAGACACTAATTCCATTGTTTTCTCTTGTTTAATTTGACTGTTAGTCACTAATTATAACGACTTTGTTTCAAGGGCGAAGTAAGAGATAAAATATTGGCTTTTTATTTGGATTTCTGTCTGTCCCTCAGTAATCGCGGTGATGTCTGGCAGCCAATGAGAATCGAGGCAAACTTTTGATTGACGGCAGCAAACACACAATTCAAACGGAGAACCTTTAAAGTCAGTAAATGCCTAAACAATATATTTATTGAAGCCAACTTACCAAAATGTTGCCTTCCTGTAAACTGAATACCCAGGTCTGTCAGCGCTCCGGCCAGCCCGTTTGGTTTACGACTATAGAATGTCTGAAAACATTGAATGCATTAAGACTAATGGAGAAACGGTGTGGGAGTGGTTTAGGAAGAAAAACGTGGTTTAGTGGGGAGGAGAAGGTTGAGGAGGTGCAGAAAATGGGGAATGGCTTAGTATTCTTACCTAAATGAATTTTTACCACAAAGGTTATTGTAATAAGCCTTTGGTTTCTTTAGTTTCGAGGGTAAATAAAGTCCAGACTACATACTACTAGTGGTTACTAGTTAACCAATTTCCTCCAGTTTTCTGTGGTATGTCCTCTTATTTACCAYGATTTTCGTCATCTAGCTGTCAAAATGTTGTGGACTCTTGAGGCATAGCTGAGGGAGTTCACAACATATTTTGACAGCTAGATGAACAAGTGAAACAATTGAACAAGAAGGAAACTTAGACACCATGTAAAAAGTCATAAATGTACTGATGTTTTGGACAATAGTCCTTTGTTGAGAAAAAAATATGTATTATTTTATACTACATGTACCTTGTAAGTTGCCCTAAGATCAATCCAGCACCTCATTGGCTGCGGCACCAGGTGTCTCTTTCTCTGACATTCATTCTTCAAGCAGATTCCTATATCCCAATCTATAATTGAAACAATCAAGAATTAGAACACAAGTTATAAAGCAACAAAATATATCACAAGTGAATTCACCCAAAGGAAAGTCATACAACAATACATGCAAAGTATATGGAATCGGACCAGTGGATACGATACTCAATAGGCTGTTTTGATGATGCTGTCATTTTACTACCACTACCATTTTGTTCTCATTCAAATTTGTATTTCCTCATGAGAATAGTAAGTTTTTGGAGATGCTAATTAACTGAACAAAATAAGTGTGCAAGGGAGTCTGGTAGTGGTAGTTAATGATTCTATGATGACCTATTCTATGTTTTCTGATTGCTTTTGCGACAGGGGAATATATCTCTTTACCTTGGCATAATATTTCTCCGTTTCAGACCATGTGTCATTCCATATAGTTTCATTTCTTCGTTTAACGGTTGTTCATGGGAAGACACATGAATATGGTTACATCTCAAACAAAGAACCTTATTTGGGTAATCCACAACCGGCAGAACGAAGCCTGGGAGTGGATGAACAAACAATGAATGGTGAGATAAAACAAAGAACGCAGTTCACATGTAGAATACACATTGTTCATAATTCATGCTTTCTTTGTTTTTGTTATTTTGTCCAATCCCAAGCTTCGTTCTACCAGTGGACATCGACCCTCTTATTCTCAAGAAAATGATAGGTGGTCTGAAATGAGAACCAATTATTCCCCATGGAAAGGGGTCTATATTATGTTAATTGACCCTCCAGTCGCGTGAGATTTGTACAGTGTTTATGGATACAACTGAAACAAAAATGTGGTATTGTCATACTAATTATGTACCTGACCAAGTAACAAATGTACACCATTTAACATCTGTTTCTGATTTCTGTTCTGTCTCAGTAGCCTTCACAGCATCTGACAAGAACTTGATATTTTTCTTGTTGTACAGTTCTTGTAACCAGTTATTGAACAACATCAGACAGGTTCCTATTGGTATGCCATTATCCACTTGTGACTGTAAAAAACAAATGCATAGTTTTTGAGGGACACAGATTTGTTAGTATTTTATACTATTACATGACACCCTCGTTAAATAAAGTATTTATTAAAATTATTAATACCCTTTAAATTTCTCTGTAACTTAAGCTTTCATCTAGTTGAGTTTTCATCGTTATTCTCTTGCGTTTCTTTACAAAGCAGGCTTTGATAGCAGATGTTATCAGTACCATGCTGTGTTTACTAATATAGCACAGTTCTCATCCAATTAGAGTGTAGCCAGTGAAGTGACTATATTAATAAACATGTTAGAAACAATACAAAAATAGATTAAATGACTTGTTCTATTGATTTACCTGGGTTATTCCTGTCAATTCTTTACAGAAGTCACTCAATCTTGGGTGTTCATTAGGCTGCACATACTGGTGGAATTCTGATTCAATCACTCCAGTAGATGTGCGCATAAGAACAGCAGGAAATTCAACTAAAGAAAATGGTATGCATACAATGTAAGAACAACTCAAATGAAGATGTTTAAAAACATCTTCCTTGCTATTGCCAGTTGAAAATCTCTAGAAACCCTTGGGTTAGGGATCATAAGTGGATAGAAATCCTAGAGGAACAGTACAAAAGGCAAACGGAAATGTAGGAGTTGAAATATAATGCTGTGATTGTTTTTGAAACAACCTACAGTATGCATCCCACAGCCCACCCCTCCCTCTTAAAATAAAGTTCTGTCAGTTTTACTAGGTAAGAGGGGGGAGGGGAAGTTAAAGGTCACAGGAAAAAAAACGGATTCCCAAATTGGGAATTGTTGGGAATTTCCTTGAATTCCCAATTCGAACACCAATGTTGGGATTTATTATTGGGAATTTCCTTCTAATACCCAATAGAAAAACAAAATTCCCAACAAACTAACATTGGGAATCAGTGCCACATTCCCAATTTCATTCTCTCTGGGAATTGGATGGGAATTTGTTGGGAATTCAAGGAAATTCTCAACAAATTCCCAATTTTTGAATCTGTTTTTTTCCCCTGTGGGTTAGGTTAAGGGAGTCCAGTTGGAATCTTGAGTGGTGGAGGTGGGGGAAAGCAGGAAAGAAAAATAACAACCTTGACTAGGCTCACCTCCAAGGCCCAATGGAGTTAACTTGACTTTAAAGTGAAATGTGGTAGCTAATAAACTTACTTATTTCAGGAGCATTGCTCATTCTCTTGTCTTTCCAACATGTTGACTCAAAGTCAATAACCACGAGATAGGTAAATGGCTGTTCTGAAATAAGGAGAGTGTGGATCAGTATTTCCCATCAGAGACATGCAATTCTAGGCACTAGATTTTGAAAGGGAGATTTAATTCATATTTATTAGGACGGCACAATATTGGAGAAACATGGGGTTTGTTGTTTTAGGAAGCTTAACAAGAGCTATCAATATGGCAAAACCTAAACTGTAATAAGCTTAGAGTAGTACTTAGAGACTAACAGACCATAAGTTACTATGAACAGACCAACTCACTTTTAGCTTTTAAAACATCAGATTTTTTCGCGGTTGAAGACGAAAGCTTCCGAATCAAACCAAGTGATCTGAAATGAAAATAAAAGTATTCAAGTAAAATCCAGTATTGACTTTATAAAAAGGACAAAGAAAGACAGAGAGAGAACGCTTCTTTACCTACCTTGCCAGATCTTTAGTCGACATTTTACCAGCTGTTGTCGAGGCATTGGTCTTGTCGCTAGAAGCAGCCATACTTTTTTTCTCTTGTTATAGCTTATGCTTGATAGAAGTGGGTTCCCTGTGGAAGAGAGAGAGAGAGAGAAGGAGCTCGTGGGAATGGGACAGAGTTGTTATAGGGAAGAGTAGACAAGTTGTTGTGCTTTTTAAAAAATGAATCCGGAATTCGAATGATTTTATCTTCAGGACAGCACATATGTCGAACTCGTGAAAACCTGAACTCGTGAAAACCTGAACTCGTGAAAACCTGAACTCGTGAAAACCTGAAATCGTGAAAACCTGAACTCGTGAAATTAATCCTGTAACGTGGAATTGTGAAATCATTGACTGACTGAACTCTGAATAAACTGATAATCTAGAACTTGAACGTCACGCATCTTGACTATAGTCCTCGAGATAATCTAGAACCACTACATCTCTTATACGCCCAATAGTATTATGTATTAAAGGAGATCAGTTAAAGGCAAAATAGAATCTAAATTAATTAGAAATCTTTGCCCATTTTTACTTACAGTATTCGTTCTCACATAGTTATTTTCAAACTTTGGCGCGCATCTGCTTGGTAGACTGGGCTCCACTTATATCTGGGCATGAGCGGAGGCTTATGGGTAAAATATGGAGATGAGGTAGAGGGGAGATTAGATCTATTAGAGCAAAATTTATTATTACTTTAATATTTTTTTTGGGCTCAATTAAATGTTCATTTTATTTTAAAGCAGTCTGTAGTTCGCATAGCGTCAACTGGTTGTGCTGGAATTCTGCACTAGGTTTGAGGACTACTATGTGCCGCCCTATAGGGTATGGTTTTTCGGCTTTTGGGTCTGGGGTAGGGTATCATTTTTTGACATTTTGTCTGGGATAGGGTATCATTTTAGTCTGGGATAGGGTTAACGATTTGGTCAATTTTGTCTGGCGAATAGGCTACGCTTTCTGCCGGCACAAAAACAATAAATACGTTAGTAAAAATTGATTGCAATCTGTTGAAAAACCGTCTTTTCCGTCTTTTAATCTGGGATAGGGTGTACAATTCTTAGTTTTAGTCTGGGGTAGGGTATGTAAAATCAAAATTTTAGGTCTGGGATAGGGTCAGGGTTTTGAGGTCCTGGCGACACACCCCTAACCAAGTTGGGGTGGTAGTACCCCCCCCTCCCCCCCCCGGGCAAATCTAGGACGTATAAGACTAGCAGTTAGCGCGTCAGCCTTGAAAACGAGTTAACAATTAAGACAAGAAACTAGGACTAAATTTTCATGAGCTAACGGTACTATATAACACTGATTTTTGATCTGATATTTCCAATTAATAGAGATCAGAGATAGAGTGACCACAGTAAATCCGTGAAACACTAATTACTAAATAGTACAAAATAGTGCTAGTTAAACAATAGAAAACAATGGAATTTGCATGAAATTGTGCTATTTAGTATTACTAAAGTTTCACGGATTTACTGTGGTCGCTCTAGGGAATAAAGGTTGTTTACGAGTAATAGGAGGAACGGCAAGTGTCTACTACGTTCTAGTCTAACGCCTGCAATGCAGGCTACGTCATCTTAGGTGTTTGGCTGTTGATAACAGCTTGAAGAAGGTCACTATCTATATCTTATTATAATTAACCAGGGAGGTGTTTAAATTAACTCGGAGTTAACTGACGACGTCTTAAGTGTGCTGAGTGAAAGTATCTTAATTAACTTGATTTAAATCAAATGTAAAAGATCGTTAAAAATTTTGTTCGTTTTGTGAGGAGTGCTGAGCAAGAAAGCCCAAATTTGCATTACAGTCAAACCAACTCATGCGTTCCTTCAAGGTTCAAAGATTCATTTTATTATTGGAAGTTTGCCGTGATTTCTATCTTGCTTTATAGCTTGCATCATTAAAATGAACTTTGCAAATTTGACTATAATGAGCTCGGATTTAAAGTTAATTTAGTTCTTCACAGATTCGTTCAAAGCTAAAATTATTCCTACAATTGCA